GGCACAGGAAGACCAGGAAGCAGAGACAGAACCCAAAAAGGTAGGGATTTGGTACCTGGGCTCTGCTTTTGAAGAGTCCAGTGTCAGAAAATGGATGGAGGTGAAGGTACCCTGTGCTCGTGGTGGTCTAACAGCAGTTTAGTTCAGAAATGCAGCTTAGTGTCTGGTGGTTTTCCTTGATGGTTTGCGATACCGGGCGGGCTGCAGCCTGGCTTGGCTTCCAGTGTCTGAGGAAACGCTTTGTCTTTCTTTGAAGGAGACAGAAAGCGAACCAGAAGACAACCTCGATGATCTAGAGAAGCACCTGCGAGAGAAGGCCCTGAGGTCGATGAGGAAGGCGCAAGTGTCACCACCATCCTAGGCTGAATCCTTTGATATAATGTACATTTTATTTGGTTTGTACTCAGAATTCAATTTCAAATTGCTAAATGTGTTTGAGCTTTAGAATATAACATTTGTTGTAATAATTGCTAGGTTGAGGTTCACCATGTACAAAGGGCATGGATTTTCATTACAAAAGGTGTCCACAGTGTACTAGTGACATTCTTTCATTGACAGTCAACATAATTTCATTTAGAGTGAGACTTTTTAGAAGCGGTAGGAATTTGTTTTGAAGGTTTTAAACATGACCGTCGGTTCCCTCGTTTCTTTGGAACTCAGCAAAGCCTTTAGCATAATCCGTGAGGGTCTCATTGGACTTCTTTTGTCTCCACTGACGTTACGCTACTAACCCTTGTGGTTTGTAAGCTTGCCCAAAGTAAAACCACTGCAGAATTCCCAAGGAAGAACATCTATTTTAATGCTTTCTACTGTTGCCTGTATAGTCTCCATTAAAGCGAACCAAGAATAGCAGTTTAGAATGGTACATAAATGAAAGCATGTTGTTTACCAGGACACTGTGGGTTTATATGGATGTAACATGTTGATTTGGAACACTGGAATTTCATTTGTATTTTTATGTTCTTTTTTTAAAGGGCAGTTTCCATGATCAGCAGTCCCAGAAAAAAAAAAAAATTCCTTCGGTTCCATCAATTTTGTTTGTGAGATGTCGTTGCCCCATTCATAAATCTTGTCTCGTTATGGTTCTTCTGAATGGTATAAGCAACTTTCAGAGATGTGGTCTTTGAAAGTTGGAGGAACCTGAACTTTGGATATTGTCATGTTTTCACTGTTTTTTGTTTTTGTTTTTTTAACTAAAGCTATATAAAGCTTGTGGATTAAACAAAATAAATTTCTAAATTTAAACAGATGTTGGCTATTTTTGTATGAACACTTACATTTGCTAATCAGCTTTCTTTTGTACAGGGTTAATGAGTACACAGACATGAAAGAGCATGTGCTCCAATACGCTGGCTTCTGAGAAATTGGGGCTTTTGGTTTTAACTGTCCTGGGGCAGCAGAAGTGGCCCGTTGGTAATTCCGTGACGCTCCCGCTGTCTCTGGATCGGCTCTTGCAAAGCAAGAGTGAAACCGTCTGCCCGGTCAGCCCTCTGTTGGGATGGATGAGCTTCAGCCAAACGAGCAAACGAGGCATTTGCTGGTGAAAACGGCTCGTTCATAGCAAGTGAAATGTTTCAAGGTCCTGCAAGAAATTGATGGCAGGTTGGCATTGACTTGAGTCGTGTAAAACCAGCGCTGGTTTGGACGCTCACCGGCAGAGCCCTGGTAGCTCGCGGCCTTGTTCATAATCACATTTGGAACTCGCTGGATTGCTACTGGTGAATTTTCTTAAAAATTCAAGCTCTGTTTCTGAAATCAAGTCAATTCTGAAGTCTGAGGTTCCTCTGGAAGGAGGAGTGGAACATGCTTTTGGAAATTTTTGTCCTGCATCTGCAGTAGATGTGATGTGCACCGTTACGTGTAGACACTTGATTAGTCTTTTTACTTGACATCGCGTAGGGTTTTGAGTGAAGCAGGGGTTACGTAGAGGCGGGCTGGAAGGGGATATCTTCAGAGTAGCTTCCTGATACGCTGAATCCTTTGTTTCTTCGCCTAAGTATACGTTGTATGCTAAAGTGCTTGTAAACTTAGTTCAACAACACTTGAATGTTGAGTATCATCTGTTATTAAATGTGTATAATAAATTCCAAGAACTTTCTGGACAAACACATTTTTAAAAGTACATCTGAGTGAATTTGGGGCTCACGAAACCGCAGAACCAAACACCATATTGTGCTGATCTCTCGCCTCCTTCACTTTATTTTTTTTTTTGCCTGGGATGTTCTGTGGCAGCACAAATGATCCTGAAATTCAGTCTTAAAAGAGGGAACCTGTGCTGCCTCCACAAGGAGTTAATGCCTTGTGCTGTATAATCTGAATCTTGCTTTCGGCTGGGTTTGGTGACCTCTCTGTGCCTTTTGATCTCAAGACTAATAGAAGTTCTTTAAATATCTGAGTCACTGCTGATCGTCCCTCATACCTGTTTTTCATCTCCTGCCTCCAGGTCTGCTGCACTTTGATGAAGGGCTGCCCGCTGATTTTGGTCAGGTCCTGAGGGAAGGCCAGACCTTCCTGGGACTGTCAGGTGTCCCCCACCTTTTTCTCTCCTTTGGAGTTTCTCTCGTTAGGGACTCCCTCCTCCTCTCTTTCTTTAAAAACACCTATCCATAAAGGATGGTTTAAGTTTAAAAAAGAGCAATTAAATACGCTCTTTAGGAAGCACGTAACTGCTAAAGTGTGTTTAGTTTAATATTTTAATTCCTTCTGACTTTGCCATTCATGCAAATAGTAACATTGCATTTAACTACCAGCTGAGTGACAGCGAGCTGCCTCTGCTCTTCTCACGAGCCGCTCCGCCCTTCCGTGCTGCTCTAGACGCTGTTGCTCAGATGCTTCTCGGCACAAAATCACGGGGCTGGGGTGACAGCCTTTGGCGTTGGCGTCCGTGCTGTGAAACTTCGTCCTGGTGAGCTGTTGACTTGAACTTCTCCCCCGACCGTCTGCTGTTGAGATCCGTCATCCAAACCCAACCTCGTCTGCTCTGCTCACCACTCGGACCTTCTCGGTTAACCTCTTGTCTCTGTTTCTCAATCCTTTCAGTTGCAGTCGTGCTGCTGTAGTTCAGCGAGCGGCCGCGTGGGATGCCTTGTGCAACAGGGCAGAACCTCCGGTGCGTGGATCTCGCTCTTTGTTCTCCATCTGCGAGCGCTGGGTGTGCGCTTGTTGGTCAGGACCACCTGCCTGAAACGGCAGCCACGGGGGGTTCGGTAAGTGACTTCCTGGAATAACCACGTCTAACTATGCGAAAGAGTTGTGATAAATTCACATTTACTTGGACTGTATAATGTAGATGAAAATGAGTCCACAGGAGTTGGATGTGAGTCACTGGCAGGTCGATATCAGTAGTTCATAATAAAGATGTATTTGTTGTGTCAACAGATGGGACAATAGCAGGTGTGTGTGCAAGAGATTGGAGTTTATAGAAACCCAGTGTTGGATTATTAAATTTTTCCACTTGTGTGACTTTGGAAATTTGCCTGGGGAGTTCTGTGAGGACCGGCTTCCTGAGCTTCACCACTGCGGTTTTACGCTGAAACCCGATTTCTGAGTTGCCTTAATGTCCGGGACAAAGACTGTTCTACTGCTGCTTTGAAAATGTCAGGTTCTCCCTGAAAGCTGATGTACCTGAACGATAAGTAGCGGCACTGGGGCAGAGTTCTGCGCTCAGAGTCGCAACTCACGCTTTGCACGGTAAAGCTCCTGCCCAGCTCCACGTCGTCTGACACACATTAAGCAGAGGCCCAGAGCTGGAGGACTGGCTGGTGGGGGCTGTGATGGGAGGGGCGTTAACTTGGAGGAGCAGCTTAAACGTCACGTGCAGTTTTGCACTCTGGACTTCATTCCTCAAGCACCAAACCTACTGTGCTGTGTGTTTTGGTGTAAAAAGCAGCGCTATTGGGAGAGTAGCGTTCAAGCCGAATTTTGATTGAATCCCTTTCCAGCTGTCGTGTGTGATAACTTATGTTTTAGCACAGGATCATCTGCTCAAAGCCTCGAATCGTCTGCTTCGAGTCCCTTGTTCCATGTCACGTAAGGATCCAGTCGCAGCACGGACGGCGCTGGATGCACTCCTCGGCCGGAGCCCAAAACCGTAGCAGGGGCGTTGGCAGGCGAGGGAGCGCTGCCCCTCCTTAGGGTGTTGCCCTCCCCCGTGGCTTTCCAGCTTCTTTCGCGTTGCTGAACAGCAACTTGGTTTCCCTCTTGCACAACTGTTTGGTTTTTTTTTCTCCCATCATATTCACAGAACTTCCCAGTGGAATTGCTTGCTTCTCTGGATCGGGTCTTGGTCACTAATAAATTACCGTGAGAGCAGTATATCTAAGGATAGCAAAAAGGTTTTTAAATCTGAGAACAGCGATGTGGGCACTTGAATCAGCAGTTTGACTTCGGAACTTACCTTGAGCTCTCCTAGAATGAGCTCAAAGAGGTTGTAACCACTCGAGCCCGTTCAGCTATGGCACGAAGCAAGAAGATCGAGGTGGTTCCCCACCCCGCTGGCTGGAGGCAGAGGATGGCCTCTGACAGTGACTCTTACTGAGCTCTCTGCCTCGGAATCCAGTCAGCTGCTTCAAGTACAGCCACAGCACTGCCCCTTCCCTGCTGTGCTACGCTCCTGAATGCCTGACATACGCCAACTGTTGACAGTGTAACCCCGTCTTTGTTTCAAGCTAAGTTGTGGTTGAAAGAAGCAGTTTGATTTATGCTTTCTCTTGTTCAGGTTTAGTTCTGACTTGACTCGGTAAGAAGGAAGCTCAGCTACCATCCATCACGCTTAAAAATCTTACAGTCCACTTGTGATAATTTGTGTTTGCTTCCTGGGTTGCCTGGAGGCAATCAGCGGGCAAGTTCTTTATGTGCCCAGTCCCGTGCGTGGAGGAAGCCTTGGGAAGATGGCTGGGGAGAGTGGGATTTAATTTAATGGACCTTAAAGTAGGAGAACCACCCGTACGCAGCTGGAGGTGGTCTTGGTTCAGAGTTGTGGTCCTCAGTTAGTTACTCATGGTGGATTTGCCGTTAACACAACCGGCTGCTCTGCAGGGGTGGGGGAAGGGAGCCAACGCGGGCGGCGCGTTCCGTGGGGAGTCGGGGCCGCGTGTGCCGTGTAGATTTAGCAGCAGAAGATGCTGACGGGAAGAGGGGTTCAGCTCAGGGGGTCTGTGTGCTTCTACCTTTAAAGGGAAGTATTTTGGGCTTTCGCCATAAATGCAAGTTGTGGTTATGGCGGGGCTGTGCCTTTTGGAGATCCCTGAAGAAGCAGAGACGGGAGCTGCTCCCCCCCTGGCCACACTCCGTTTTGCGGGACGTGCTCGCAAGTGCAGGAGGGCAGCGGGCGCCGGGGGAAAGAACCTCTGTAACCGGATTCTGCCATTTAAATCAAAATTAGATTTAAACATGTTTCAAGAAGAATCGCTGTTTAAAATTATGTCTGTTGAAGTCTAATTTATCGTTACTGATTGAAAAGTTACTCAGCGTAGAACCTTTCACAAAAGGACGCTAGAGGATGGGCCCGAAGCCTCGTTTTTAAGAACATCGGTGCAGAACTTGAGTCCGTGACCCAAACACTTGAGCGTTTTGGTGGGAGAAAGTCTTGTTAAAATGGTAAAACAGTCCGTGAGTAGGGGAGGTTCTTCACTGAGAGAAAGTTTCATTTCTTCACAACGAGGCAAGGCAATAGCGCTGAACTGCCTTGCCCTGTTCACTGGAGCATCAGCTGCTGCTGAGCCCTAACAAAGAACAGCTGCATAGCGTGGCAAAGCAGTTCATGATTTTTGAAGAAAAAATATAGAAAATAGACCAAATTTTACCAAAATTGGTTTAAGCTCTGCACGTGTTGAGAGAAGAGGTGTGCTCTGGCTGTCCTGAACTTGGAAAGAACAGCAAGAAAGTACAGAAAAGCAACATTCCTCCAACAGGTTCAATTCCAGGGAGTGAAGAAGTGGCTGGACTGAGCTTATCCACAAACCTACCACAGTAGCACGGGAACTGTTCAGTTGTTCAGCTTTTGAAGAGGAAAATGGCTGTTAAAACCATCAGTCATTGCAAAACAACTGAAGAAAAATGTTCTCATGTTTTGTTGTAAGTAACTTTCACCTAAATCCAGCTTGGGAAAATAATGAGTAAAAATGGTTGTTGTCAGAAAAAAAATGTAAAAGGATGTATTTAAGCATAGCATGTTAACCATGTGTGGTAACAGCCTCAAAGTGCGCAGGGATGGTGTATTGAATTTATAAAAAATAGGCTCAAATTTAG